GATGAGTCAGAAAAGTGCTCTTCAAATTTATTAAATATTAAGCTCTACAACCTTCAATAAAAGCATTAATGTTTTCACCAATATTGAAAGCAATGTTATTATAACAAGAAAATTTATAATCATTAGTATTATGCGTATTCTAAATATATACAAATACAACTGAGAATAGACTTACATAAAAGTAAGTAATTCAGATTAGCAGTCACTCTAATTAGTTGGAATTCATATGAATTAACTATGACCATGATTTAGAATTGTAAAATAATAGGTTTAAATCATAACGTTAATGATTAGGGAAACTTATCTTATTACTTACGGACAAAGCTCAACTTCTAAATACTGCTCAGTTTCGTCATTCAGAAAAAATGCTTCCACAACTTTTGAAAACAGAGAAAAGGTATATTGAGCAATTTAATTTTTTCTAAATTATAGTATACTGTTCTTATTGCTGAAGGTATACATCACAATATGCACCCCAATTTAACGGTTTCACATGTACAATTAAGTGGCACTGACTCGTGCAGCCATTCTCGTAGTCTCTGTCGAAGTTGCTCTCCCTCGTTAATATAGACTCACTTTTCACGAGGGTTTCTATCTAATTTTACCTCTTTCAAGCCAATCAGATGAAGGTTTAGAAAGCAGAATATCGTTTTACATTTACGATTTATACTTACTTTGTTTCATCTCATTCATGACAATCCCTTCAATGTAACCTCATTTCTCTCCCTTCCTTCCTGTCTCCTGTTGCCATCATTCCTCCCTTTCTAACTCTTCTCAGCTTTGTTAAGTAAACGCTGCCCTTGAGATGTCAAATTCTTAATTCTTCTAACTTGTGCCTGGGTGCAATTGGCCACTCATTTCATAGTCTCCTCCTGACATAGCTGCGGGTGACCGACTGATTGATCCTTGAATCTCTGTTTGCAAGTTGTGAAGACCCCAGGCTCTATACAAAGAACAAGGTGGTAAAACAGAAGCACTGAACATATTTTGGCTTCAACCATAAATATTATATTTCTTTAGAATATATGTGAATAAATGATGCTTTTAAATGAAGTTCTTTCCCCACCAGAAAAAAAGCAGGCACAGAAAATAAACAGGCATTGCCTGGAAAAATAAATACAGAGAATTAAATCATCCTATGTTTTTTTATACTAGACTGCCATACATTTTAAAGAATAATAAAGCCTAGGGATGGTGTGGTTGTAAAGAAATTAACATTGCCATAGAGATACAATTTGAATCACTTATCTCCTGGGATAAATGAAGAAGAACCAGATAATTGGGAAAGAAGTCAGCAACAGTGCTCACCAAGGCATTGCTCAAAAATTGGGAATTATCTAAATGATTATCAGTAGGAGAACTGTGAAATAAATTATGGAATATCCATGAAATGTAATACATGCAGTTATTAAAATAAAAGCACAGTTAGATATTTAATGACATGAGAACATACTTATGATATTCAATAAGTAGGCTGCAGAGCAATATTCAGATATACATGAAATTAAAATGTGTATGTGTCTCTACCTAGGTGTCTGAAAAACATACACTACGATGTTAAGACTGGTTAGTTTATGCAATACAAGTAAGTGTCCTTTTATTTCTTTCCTGGAATTTTCTGAACCTATATTATATTTAAAACTGGTTAACTATAAAAGTAATACATGCTTCTTATAAAAATTAAAACAACAAAATATGTGAGGTCATTAAGTAAAAAGTCAAAGTCCCTTCCTATTTCCTTGGTCTACAATCAGCCAGATATTTTGCTCATCCTATAAACTATTTTACCTGCATAGATTTAACTTAAAAAAGTAGAATCAGACTCTCCTGAAACTTGCTTTTTTCCAACAAAAATTACTTTACCATAGAAATAATCTTATTCTTTCTAATGCATGCAGAGTATTCTTTTATAGGATGCTATCATAATTAACTCGCCTAATTCTTATGAATATACATTTAAGTTGTTTCTAATTTTCCATGTTATTTTCATCCTAATAGCTAAGATATAGGCATTATTCCATCAATATTCAGACAATCGGATTCCCTTTCTAAATCTTTTATCTGAACAAATTAGATTGTCTTCTGATTTCTATGCTCCAGTGTCACCTTGCAAATGATTCCGCAGCTTCTCTGTCTCAAGCACTGCATCGAATTCTCAGGATGCTTTCACTAGTCAGGACACAAAGGTGGATATTTCAATAAAGACATTAGGATAGAGGGATGAACGGGGTGCTGTACAGCCAAAGAAACAGACGCAACTCAAAACAGTGGTGCAAGGAAGAGTTCAGGCAAAGGTACTAAGCTTCCTCTTGAAAGTAGAGTTAGAGCTAGGTGAATGAGAATGATGGGAAGAGCATTCCAGTAGGGGGAGTAGCATAACCAACGGTACTCAAGTAAGACATCTCATAGTTTACTCAAAAATCTCCAAGCAGTTCCATCTTACTTGGTACCGCGAGTTAGGGGTTGGATTACTAATTGCAAGGTGAGCAGTTCAAATCCACCAGCCATTCAGGGGATAAAGATGAAGCTGTCTGCTTCCATAAAGATTTACAGTCTTCAGAAACCTTATAACAGGTTACAATGAGTCCGAATCAACTTGATAACAGTGAGAGAGGAGGCAAACCTTTCAGTGTAGGAAAGAGTGGTGATTCTCTGCAGAGAGACTAGTCAGGCCAAGAAAATTTTGTATAAGATATATTAATAGGGTGAAACATAGCCTATTAAGGTTTTTAAGTAGCTGAATTATAAGTCTGAATTTTCATTTTAGATAAATCACGCTGGCTTCCAAGTGAAGGGTAGACTTGAAGGCAAAAAAAACAACAAAAAAAACTAGTTAGGAGGTTATCCCCTAGCTTCCCTCAGTAAAAGGAAATGAAGGCCTAACCTACAGGAGAGATGATAGGATGAAGAAGTTGACCTGACTGAGGGACTGGCCCCAATCCTAACTACGTGGCCATCTGCCCCTTCCCCCAGAAGAATTTATTTCAAAGGACGGCATTTAATCTGCAGCTCCGGGAGATGGACATATCTGATCAGAGCACACGGGAGGACATGAAGGGGGAGGAGGAGAGAGTGGAGCACAT